TAGAAGAATTGATGTTTTTGAGTTATGGTGTTGGAGGAAAATATTGAAAGTGCCATGGCTGCTCATAGAACCAACACATCTGTGTTGGAAGATATAAAGCCAGAGTGCTCCTTGGAGGCCAAGATGGCCAAAGTTCGTCTCTCATACTTCGGATATATTGTCAGGAGGGACCAGTCTCTGGAGAAGGATATTATGTTTGGTAAGGTGGAGGGTCAGAGAAAAAGAGGAAGACCCCCCAGCAAGATGGATTGCCCAAGTGGCAGCATCAGTGGACTCAAGTGTGGCAACAGTAGTGAGACTGGCCCAGGATCAGACAGTGTTTCATTCTGCTGAGCATAATGTCGCTATGAGACAGCACCGACTCGATGGCATCTAACAATAACCACAACAATAGGAAAGAGAATGAAAAAAGTGGAGATTTAGATGACTACTTCTGCTGCAATTGTGTACCACTTTTATTTTCTACTTTGTGCTTTTCTGTATCTTATGAATTTTCTATCACGTACATGTGTCATTTTTGTAATTAAAATATAAGTATCTGTATATCATAAAACATACTTATTCTTTCTTAAAAATTAGCATTTTATTCCTAAAAGCTTTATTTTTTTTATAAAAAGCATTTTATAACCAAATGTTTTTTCAGCCATCTATTGAGGGGTTGTGTGAGTTTTACACTCAACCTATTGATTTCAGCCTATTGATTGGATGTACTTACTGTATTCATAGATTTCTTAAAAATAAACCATTTCTTCCATCCTAGGAGAAGCTTTAATTTACTTGATTATCCTATATTCATTTAATCCTGAGAGGTCTTTGGTTTTCCTCCTCTCAAGAGTTAAGGAGGAGATACTTAGACTTAAAATAGTTATTTTACCTTTTGACTATGTCATTATTTATTTTTTATGGACTTTTTTTCTTCTGTAAAATAAGACTATTTCTGTTTTACAGAAGAAAAACAAAAGAAGTCCATAAAAATAAATAATGACATGATCAGACAATGGCAAAAGTAAGAAAACAACCCAAGCTTTGACATAACATACTCTCACTTTCTACATACACATATGGAAGGAAATACCACCTAGCTGTACTTTCCATTGATTGGGAGGGTCAATGCAGTATGGCCATCTCCCTTACTGTCTAGAGACAAGAAGAATTCCTGCTTCAGATCTTTATATACCAATCACCACAGTCTGAGTCTAAACTTGATTGATTCTGACAAAGTTTGGGTTGTTCATAAAGAGACGGTACTCTGGTTCCCATTCATAAAACCCCATCTACCATTGTGTCTGTGTGGCCCTTCTTGGCTTCTATGCCAAAGTCCTGTTGTGGCACCGCAGGATAAGCACTCAACCACAAGGTCAGTTTGCACCGCGAGGTCATTGGTTCAAATTCACCAGACGCTCCTCAGAAACACGATACAGGATTACTATGGGTCAAAGCTGATTCAAGGACATTTAACAAAAACAATAACAACCAAGACCTTCAGGAACACTCCTAACCCTGAGGCTGAGGGCCTGGTTAACCAGGGGCCTGCTGACACGTCATGGAACCCCAAACATGCCCTTTAGAGAGCTGACCTCTTCCAAAACGACAATTACATTTCTTTATATCTCCTGCCCATCAACCACCCCTCACACTTCTTACCTTCACCCATCTTGGGGCTTGTGTGTGTGTGTGTGTGTGTGTGTGTGTGTGTGTGGCTCCAGAAGGTACTAGAGTTGCCTACCTAAAGAGTTTCTTCTGACTAACCCCAACCGGCTATCTCCAAAGACATGAGCTCTAAGTAGGGTGACCATCTGTACTGGCTACCCAAACATCTAATTTAGGTCTGAAGTCCCAGGGTAATTACTGATAGCACCCTTTTCACTCTTGCATACCAAGTGGCCATGAAGAATTGATGGAGTGGAAGAAAGAGACCTAGGCCCAAAACTTAGGATCCAAACCCTCTCTCTTAAGCCCCATCCATTCCATAAGGAAATTCTGCTTGTTTTACTTTCCAATTATAACTGGAATTTAACCATTTTCCTGTAGCCACAAATACCACAGAGATTCTAAATACTGTAACCTCTTACCTAGTTTATGTAGAACATTCCTATCCTACCCCAGCCCAAAGAATATCATTCAACACCAAAACCAGAACCATTCTTTTACAGAGTCTGCTCAGAACTCTAAAATGACTCCCTGTTACTCTCAGTCCTTATAATGATTTATCCACTTTCCTCAATCCAAGACCTCTGTCTTCTTCTCTCTGACCTCATCCCCTATTATTCTCTCATTCACTAGCTCTGCTCTACCCACACAGAGCTCCTTGCTGTTGCTCACACACTTCAGCCTCACTTCATCACTGGGCCTTTGCACTGGCATGCTCTTTCCCCACCTACCATCTGCATTAGCTCTTCTCTCTCTTCCTTAGTTTTCACTCACAAGTCAACCCACTCCATGAAGTCTGAATGCTCTACTTAAAATTGCAACACCTCCGCAAACTCTTGATCTCCCTTAACTCATTCGATTTCTTCTTCATAGAACTAATCCTATTCTAGTAAACAAGACATTTTCTTTATAAAATATGTTGACTTTCTAGCCTCTACCCTATAGTCTAAGTACCACAAGGACAAGGATTTTATCTATCTTACTCACTGGTTTATTTCAAATACCTAGAACAGTGTCTGGCACATAAAAGGCGCTCACTCGAATGAATAAACAAATAAATGAAAGTACAAAATCAGTTCTCATGAACCAAATCCGCGCTCTCTGAGCCTTTATTCATTCCATCACCACCATCATGACCATTTTGCGAGAACTGATTCTGAGGTACATCACAATGCTTATCATGAAGCTTCACTAACATCTTTGCAATGCAGTTTACCTACTAAGAAAATGGTGAGCCTGAAAAGCAATCTCATTTCCAGTAGATACTTGTCTATTCCCAGTAAGAAGGCCCCTGTGGGTTTACATGTGAGCTGAGTGGCCCCCATGTCACTGCATGTGCTCCCCTCTTTTTGGAGGAGAGTCTTGGATCTGAGGACAGAAAGCTTGGATGGTACCTGTGGTTTCATGTCCTCTTCATCCTTGTAGTAGTATAGCTGCTGCGCTCTTAGCACAAAGTATCTCTGCTGCCAGTTTTTCACAAAGGACCTCTGCTTCTTCAGCCAGCCCATCTTGATGGGCCTTTCCAGAGGGTTGGGGGTAGATGACGATGAGTGAAAGGCTGCCATCTGCTCTCCAGTCATCACACTCTGGGATCGAACTATAGAAACGAAACAAACAGACAGATTGACTAAGAGACATGAAGCAGGGTGCAAAGTGTGGGAGGAAAGGTGAGAGAGAAACCTCACAGGGGTTGAGAAGTCAGGTGGGACCGCAGGCAGGTCCACCTCAAAAGTCCGTTTTTGGATCAGAGAAGATCCTCCGTGACCCAGAGCAACAGCTCAGGAACCTGCTCCTGAGAAGGGCTGGACCAAGACACAAAGGAGGCAAGAGCCGACGGCCCAGCACACACGCAGTGCAGCAACTTCTGTCCTTCAGGCTTCTCATTCTGCAAAGCAAAAGGCTGGCTGGAGCCTTCTAAAGAGGAAGTGGCCGCAGCATCTGACAAAATGGTGCTTCCTTTTTCCTGCGTGGGAGTCAGTATCTGACAAGAGAGGAGAGAAAATAATGCCTGATTCTGAGGGTGAAGGGTGAGTCCCACGCAGCTGCACAGGCAGCCGGAAACTGCTAGGGCATTCTCCCACTGTGGCTGCTTTAAGGAGGAGCTAGGTGTACTTGTGCTGACTTTACTGTGGAATACAGTCCTTGCCCTGAAGACCCCGCAGCAGCCTACCACTCCCAGCTGCGTAGATAATGTGCAGAAGTTGGCACCTCTTGAAATGTTTCTGCCAAGCATTTCTCTGCCTCTTAAGAGTGTTTATAACCCTCACCCTGGACCTCACCATAGCTGCCATCCTATTATATTTCCAACCTGGTTATCACGTCCTGTGGATGACAACATACAAGCAGGTTAGAGGAAAAAGAGTTTAACAACAAAACACAAAAGCAGAAGTTGACTGCAGACCCCTTGGTACACTCATCATGTGGTTGGTTTTCGTTTTCAGACAAAAGTCCTGCCTGTCATTGCATGACAGGTCTGGACCTCCACATCTCGTTTCCCTGGTAGTTCCCAAGTCAAAACAACTTTTCCTTTGTTTATGTCCACAGCTATCACCCTGCCTAAAGTCCAGCTTAATCTTTTCTTCTGAGCCTCATCATCCTTCCTTCCCTGCCAGTTCAGGCAAGACCTGAAGACCACATGGGAGCTCCGTGTCCCCTTGACTGTGTGCTGTCACTCCACACCTGTTAATTCCTATCACCAACCACAGTTACCAATGAATTGATTCCACCTCATGGAGACCCCATGTGTATAAGAGAAACATTGTGCTCCACTGGGCTTTCAATGGATGAGTTTTCAGAAGTAGTTCATCACTGACTTCTGAAGTGCCTCTAAGTGGACTTGAACCTTCAACCTCTGAGTTAACAGCTGAATGCTTTAGCCATTTGCACCACCCAGGGACAATTTTGATCATTCCTAACCCTAGTACCCAAGGAGCTTTGGTAGCGTAGTGGCTACAAATTGGACTGCGAACTGCAGGGTCAGCAGTTCAAAACTACCAGCTGCTCTGCGGGAGAAAGATGAGGCCTTCTGCTCCCGTAAAGATTTACAGCCTCAGAAACCCTGTACAGGGTCGCTATGAGTTGGAACCAACTCCACGGCACACAACAACAACAACAACCCTAGTACCCAAGGAGTTCTGGTGGCACTGTCAGCTGCTAAGCATTGAGTTGCCAACCAAAAGGTGGGCAGTTCAAACTCACTGGCCACTCTGCAGGAGAAGGATGGAAAGATTCACCATGTTGGAAATCCTACTGAGCAGTTCTACTCTGTCCCATGGCGTCGATATGACTCAGAATCAACTAGATGGTAGTACGTTCTGTTTGATTTGTTTGCGGCAATATCCAGTGTCTGCATCCTTTCCTGTTAAGTGTTGCTGATGTGTATCCATCCTGTTGTTGTTGTTGTGATGTGCCATGGAGTCGGTTCCGACTCATAGCGACCCTATACAGGATTTCCAAGGCTGTAAATCTTTATGGGAGCAGAAAGCCTCATCTTTGTCCTGCAGAAAAACTGGTAGTTTCGAACTGCTGACTGTGAGATTAGCAGCCCGATTCATAACCACTACACTACCAGAGCTCCTTGTATCCATCCTATAATACCTTTATTCTACTCTTATCATCTCCCAACATTCACAACATTAACCCCACTCTCACCTCATTTTGTCTCAATCACTTGCTGGAGACCTGTTTCTTGACTCTGTTTTAAACTTGGGTAAATTATGTAACTTAAATGATCTCTGGTTTCTTTGTAAAACTAGGATTATACATTTAAAAGGCACACTAGTTACTGTCGACTAGATTCCAACTCATGGCAACCCTCATGGGTCAGAATAAAACTGTACTCCATATGGTTCTCAATAGCTGTAAACATTCAGAAGTAGATCACCTCGACTTGCTTTCAAGGCATCTCTGTGTGGATTTGAGCTGTCTTTCAGTCAGTCAGTAGTCAGTTGCTTAAGTATGTATTTGAGTTGTCCAAGGAATCCTAGGATCATAATAACCCCTGTTATTATGGAATTGTGTGGAGATTAAACAAACACTTATATAAGGAGCCCTAAGAAGCTCTGGTAGTGTAGTGGTTACAAATCGGGCTGCAAACCACAAGGTCAACAGTTCGAAACTACCAGCTCTTCCGCAGGAAAAAGATGAGACGTTCTGCTTCTGTAAAGATTTACAGCCTTGGAAACCCTGTACAGGGTTGCTATGAGTTGGAACTGACTCCATAGCACACAGCCACCACCACCAATGGTGCAACAGAGAAACCAGGGTGGCACAGTATGTAAGCACTCAGCTGTTAATGGAAAAGTCAGTGGTTCCAACCCACCAGCTGCTCTGTGGGAGAAAGATGTGACAATCTGATTCTGCAAAAACTTAGCCTTGGAAAAAACCCCAAAAAACTTAGCCTTGGAAACCCATGGGACAATTCTACTCTGTTCTATAGGATCGCTACAGAGTAGACTCAATGACAATAGGCTGGTGCAACAGCTAAGTGTTTGACGGCTATCTGGAAAGTGAGTGGCTTGAACCCACCCAGCAGCTCCAGAGAATCTACTCCATAAAAATGACAGCCAAAAAAAACCCTGTGGGGTAATTCTACACTGTTACATGGCGACACTGTAAGTCAGAACTGATTAACAGCACCCTAAAACAACAATAACAACTTTATAAGGGGGTTTCAAAAAGTTGATGAAAAAATGGAATGAGAAGATACTGGAATTTTTCCACAAATTTTCTGAAGCCAAAACACATTTGCACAATGCTTTTATCAAAGGTAAGCAAATGTAATTCAATGTTTTTATTAAGAGATGAGTTTCTTTCCTACTGCAAAATGGAGATTATCTTTGGAAACTTCATCAACTTCCCTCTTCACTTCAAAACGTCATTCCATCCTCAGGTTTGATCTCTACATTCCTGTCTTGGATGCATCCAATTACTGATTCTCTCCATTGCTTTTGATTCCTTTCTATCTATTTCCTTGTTGGCCTGTAATTCTCAAACTTCCCTTGTGCCGATTTACATCTTTGGTCGTCCTTTGGCCCTGTATTTTATGTGTGTGTGTGTCCAAAAACTGTTCTGCCATGACTGGGCTCTTCTACATTATAACATCCTGGGTGTCAGCTTGCGATCAAGTCTCCTCTCCTACCACTGACCTGTGCATATCATACTATGTTGTACACTTAATTGCAAAGCATACTCAATTCAACCTCCTCTCTGACAGACATTGTCATAAAGAAATGTTATATTTGGATGATGATCTGGGAGCTTTATTTACATCCATGTGTAAGAGCTTTGTCTTAGATCATGCTTCTGAGTGATCTGTCATCTTTACTTTTTCATCTGCAAGTCAATGAACAGCACACTGGAACTGATCCCCTACTATGCTGTTATATCCCATCGAGTCCTTTCTGATTCCTAGCACCTCTATAGGACAGACTAGAACTGGCTCATAGGCTTTCACAGGCTGTAATGTTTATGGGAGTTGATGGTCAGGGTCGTTTGTTCCCTCAGAGCTGCTGGTGGGTTCAAACCACCAATCTTTTGATTGGCAGCTGAGTGCTTTAACCATTAAGTCACCTGGGCACCTTATTCCCCACTCTAAGACAATCTAAATGATTTAAATGAACAATAGAAGAGCTTTGGGCAATAATACAAAGGGGAGGTGAGAATTTGGACAGCTCTGTACCTCTCTAGGCCAAAGACTGTACCTTGCAAAGGCACGTATCTGTCTTAGATAGAGAGCAGATAATAGACAGAAAAGTTGGATTTCACACAAAATTTCTGGTAAAAATCTAAGAATGAAGCATCCTGGTGGATGCAGCCACCTTCTCCATCACCAGTCAGTACAATTCAGTCCTCTGTGTCCTCAGTGATCATCTGCCAGAAGCAACATCAAACCCAGGAAGGAGGTTCATCCGAACAGTGGTAGTGATCAGAAGCCTTCTCATGATTTCTAGGGTGACACTACTGCTAGAGACCCATAGAAATATGTGGGACAACTACATGGGATATGAGAAACTGAAGGTCTCCAACAATGCTTAAGAAGTGGGGCAGGTGGGGAGCAGGAGCCAAGAAGACCCTGCAGAGAATTAGCTCAGCAAAGAACGGAGTTGATGGGATGTTATTTTGTGGGAAAATTTTTAAGCTTTGTCATGGCAAAAACAACAAAACAAGAACCCTTTCCCCAGATGGCATTGAACAAAGATACTATGTTCTCCAACCTAACCAAAAGTGGCTTTGATACATTTGTATCTACCTACATATGTGGCACCATGGGCTAATGCCCTTGACTGCACAGTTGATTTGAACCACAAGGTCAGCGGTTCAAGCTCATCAGCTGCTCCTTGGAAACCCTACAGAGGGTTACTATGGGTCGGAACTGACTCAATGGCACTTAACAACAACAACATTTTAGAAACGATACAAGTAACCCCTACACCCAACCACTTTCCTGAGTACCTGTTATCATCTTCACATATTTGATACAACTCTGGGGACACTGGACCATAAGTTTCAAGTTTGAGAATGCAGGTGGCTCAGTGCACACTTCCCCACTGCAGGAAAGTCTGCCCAGATCCCGGGGAGATTGCAGCTGTTAGCTCTCAGCCCCATTTGCAGAGCCAACTCCTGACCTGACTCCTCAGCTTTGAACACCAGACCTATCATGACATTCA